CTGTATTGAAGTTGGCCACAAAATGAAGTTACTTAAGTGAGGGAAGAAACTTTGTGTGCTTCAAATACTGCAAGGAAAAAAAAGGTTTACTAATGTGTGGGATGATGCATACCTAAACAACAACAACAACAACAACAACAACAACAATAATAATACTATAATATAATATAAACTTGGCCAGTTATTTATTGCTGGGTTTGAGACCTGGTAAGACTCTTGAAGATCCTTCCCTCTGATGATGACTTATTTTAGACATGCCAGTTTTAAGTGCAGAAGTATAAAACACCCTTTTTCCTCTGTATCAACCACTCTTATTTTGATATTCTTTTGAATGGGTAATCTTATCCTTTTGCAAAATTAATTGGTTAACATTTATCACTTACCTAACACTGTCAATTATTTTTAGACTAGTGTTTCTTAAATTGATGGTTTAGAAGAAGCCATTATTTTCTTTCCATACATTAAAAAGTGTGTGAGTTACATGAATCTAACGTTCATTAGCCCTGTTAGCTTAATATTTGTTTGTTTGTTTGGCTTTTCTGGGTTCTTTTTCCCTGTTCAGAAAGCCTTGTTAATTCCTGCAGGCCTTTAAGGCTGTTTAAAAAGTCCTGAACCTGTAATCCGTTTTACCTGCTGTGGTCTCTGTGGTGGTTTAAATATCTGCAGAGCTGCTGAGAAGCTGTCAGACATGAATTTGCTAAAGGTCAGCTCGGAAATGGCAGATGACCTGCTGGTGTGAAAACACTGCATTCACCTCCTGTCAGAGGGCCCTACAGGCACATTCCCAGTGCCCCAGATGACTGAAGAGTTCTGTATCTGTGTCTGGCCAGATTCAGGGCAAAAACGACATGTTACAAGTAGTGTTGTTTGATTTATTGTAAGAAAAAGTAAAAAAAAAAATTTTGCTTTTCTTCTCATCCTTCACGTGATACTTTGAAAATCTTACGTATTTAACACAGACGTGCACATCATCCTGCAAGGATTGTGAGGGGTAACATTTCGAAATAATTCTGGCAGGTTTGGGGTTTTGTTTTCCCCAGCATTGGTGGTCAGGTGGGGTCGTTGTCTCCCTCGTGAAGTAATTGCGCCTGCTTGGGGAAACAAAATGGTACTTGATTAAACCTTGTGGTGAAGATGGTATTTCTTTTTATACCCTGGAGAAGGTGGGGGATCATTTTGCAAAGGATTTTTGACCCCTTTCTAGAGAAACCCTGATCTCTTAAGTTTGGGTGGGCTAGGAGGCCTTGCTTTGTGAGGAAGAGAATTGGGCAGGGCCTCCAAGGGGTTCGGGCGCTCTGGGTGGGGCTCAGGGCTCTCCTCTCCGGGGCTCTGCAGGAACCCTCCAGCTCCTCTCAGCTGCCTCACTGGGGACTTTTTGCCTTGGCCTGTGTTGGTTTTCAAATGTGACTTCTGTCTGTGAATGAGGAAGCTACCTTTAAAAAGGTTATTTAATTCTGATTTTAATTCCCTTGTTTGTGTTAGTCTTTCCTTTCTAGATCCAGAATAGATGGAGCTATATTCAGCAAAATGTTTTGTCCTTTCATTTCTGTGTAATTGAATACCAGCTTTCAATTCAGCTGTACTGAAATCCATTCAAAAAGAGATATTAGTGTGGTGTTTGTTCAGATTTCCATGTTTTAAAGAAAAAAGCTGGCAATATACTAAATTCCATTCTCCTTACTCTTCCACAATAGTTGGTCCCTCTTAATTGCAGTACCTTATGCAATAAATAGTCCCATGGGTTTCACCAAGACAGTTTAGGGAATTGAATACCACAGTGTAAGCAGAAATGGAAAAAATGAACCATGCTTTTAAGAAGTACAGCATTTGGCGAAACATTCATAGCTTGTACACGTATCAAACATTAATTCTGTTTTTTTTTTACTTATGAATCAATTTAAATTATTACAGAAGAGTATCATGTTAATGATGCTTTTTATGACACCTGTGAAATTTGGTACCCTATTAAATTAACTCTTACTTTAAACAACTTTGAACTCTACTACTATAGCCCTGAAAAACAATTTTATACTACAAAGTATATCTTTATTTGGTTAAGATTTTCTATGAAAAAAAAATCTCACATTTTACAAGTTCTGCCAAAAGTAGTCACATGGACAAAGCTTGGCTTATGCATGCTTGAATTAATGGTCAAACCTGCTCAGTATTGCAGGTGTATAAAATGTTTCAGTTAAAACTGCTTTCTCTTGAGCGTCCTAGTGGGCCCTTTGTGGGTTTTTTGTAGCTTTCCCTGTCCCTTCATCACTGACATAGCTGGCCAAGATAACCCTGTGTCTTGCAGCTGTGTACTGTGGACAAGCTCTGCTTTAAGTCACATTCCCGTTCCTCCCACGCATGTGAAAAACATAGGCAACAAAAGCAGAAAAGATCATGTTTGTGTTTAGAAAAATCTGTTTCCTTTTAGCTAATGGGTATAACATCTATATTACAATTTTAAAGTAAACCTTCCTCCCCCCCCTCCCAGGGTCTGTGCTTTGTCCTGGATTTACCTAGGCTATTCATTAGCATCACATGTAATTTTAAGAATAATTTAAGCAAACCCAGCTGGTTGGCTTAGATTTAAATGAAGATCAGCTCAGCATGAAACGTGTTGGAATTATGTATTTTTGAATTTTTTTCTATTTGGGACTTTTTATCTACTTTTTTTCTTACAAATTAGCAAGTTTAGGGAACTGCCTTTCTATTGGAGTTATATCATGGCCATCACATTCCTTCACTCAGAAGGAGAAAAACAAAATGGAAGTTCCATTATGTATTTTATTAAAAGAACAACAACCAAACAAAACAACAGCAAAATCCCCAAGTAAACAAACAAAATCATCCCCCCAAGCCAGCCAAAGAAAAGCCCCCCATACCCTCCAAATAAACAACAAACTCCCAAATAATGTCTTATTTCAGAGGAGGCTGACTTACTAAATGCACAGAAAATCCATCTGAAACCATTTTTATTTTGATTTTTGTGTTTATTTAATGACTTTTTCTTGATCTTGGTGGTGGTGGTGGAGGCTGAGCTTGGTTTCCTCTGTGAATGCATAAAGCTGCTGCAGTTGTCTTCTGTTTCTTTTATTTGTTTTTACTCTGCCTACAGCATTCCCCTGCCCCTCTAAGTTTAAGTGTTTCCTTTTATGGCTTTGTAAAATTACCTTTAGCACTGATTGACATTGCCTTTATTGTCTCTTTAAGGATTGACTCTTGTCTGGCTCTATGGCTTACTCTTCAGGAAATTGTTTTTATGGTCTTTAAATTGTCTGTAATAATGAAGACTTGAATTTCTGGCTGTTTTTCAGCTTTTTGATACAAGGGCATAGATGCTAATATTCTGAGCCCTGTTGTTACATAACGAAGTGTTTTAGAATTCCTTAGTAAAGTAAACTTCTGAATTCTGATTGCATTGGCTTCTTCAGCTATATTTTTTATTATCAGCTAGCAGCACTGTATGGTTTGGTTATGTCTGTATTGAACTTAAGAATACAATTCTCACTTCTTTTGTCAGCATTTACTTTAACTAACGTACAAGTCTCCAATGTGGCTGGATTAAACTGTATTTATATTTAACGTGTGCAGAGCTTACTTGCTTCGCTTTCATGAACAGAAGACTGGATTATCTTCTTGAGCTTAGTAGTGAAACTGGATTCATCCAAGCTCTGAACTCTAAAGCAGGGAATTTACACCTGATGCAGTGCCTTTAATTTGGTTGGTGCTATAGAGAGCACAATGGCTGCAATCTGCAACCCATTTAGATTGCCACTAAAGTTTTACGGAGTATAAGGGTTTTTTTCTTCTGTAACATGCTAGGAGCAAATAGTAAGATCACTGATATATTGCATGTATTTTTGAATATTTGTCTCTCACTCTCAGTCAGTCACTAACATTATTTCAGGCTATAGAATTGCCTTTCAATGGAAGTGTGTCGATGTATCATGGTCTGGCATCAACCATCTTTGTTTATCAAATGCTATGCTGTAGCCACTATCACATTGATCAGGGACATAATTCCCTTTAATCGGGGTGCTGTCTTAAACATGGCAGAAACAGCAGTTGTAGCTCATAAGAGGGCTTAAAATGGGGCTGGTTTGTGGGTAAGAATTCTAGGATTTTTTATAGCTTGTGGTCATTCAGCTGGATACATGTGGAACTACTTTAGTACCAAGTGTTGTTTTGGTCCATGTTGGCAAATGAAGTTTTGGGAAACAGAAGCTGTTTAAGTGAAATCATGAGTTATATAGTTCAAAGATGGCAGAAGTTAATAGTGTTCAGGTATGAATGTGATTCCTATACAGCATTTTTAGCTTTCATGGGAAGTCCAGATTGAGACTCATAGTTACAAATAATTTAATTTTTCATGAGTAGAGTTGTGGTCTTTGACTATCTGTAATGTAAACTATCCAATTCAACTTTAAAATGTCTCAGAGAACTTACAGAATGGTGTGAGGATTTTGGACAGCCTCATACTTTAGCAGAAGAGCATTTTTTGTGTCTCTGTACTATGTAAATTTTAGGCTTTTAGAAGATTGTATTGACTGGGCAGCTTGAGTGCTTACTGCCTTTCAGGATTCTGAAATTCTGTTGTGCCAGAGGAGTCCCAAGGCAGTAGGTACTTTGGAAACTGATTTTTAAAAAGGCTGTGTTTGGAGGATAATATTATATGCTCCTCAAGCTGCCCTGCTCTTTTCTTTAGTTGGTGCTTCTCTAGGAGGCATTCCTCTCATGCTTTTGTTCTAATCTCTTTTTTCACAACATGAAAGAAAATCCTCTGTTTCATGTGTCCTGTGGAGTTCCTTTCATCCTTCAAAGTGATGTTCCTTACTTTGTGATGTAATTGCCTATATGAGTTTCCTTTTTAGCTGTAAAACTAAGTATTTTTTTTTGTTGGTAGGATTACAATGTTTGCCCATTTACCACATGGCATGACTGATAACAGTAATGAATAACTGTAGGATTTCACCTGTTTTCTTCTCTCATTTTTTTGTTTCTCACAGGTTCATTGCTAAACCATGTGCCTTAGGCCTTAAAGTCCAAGCCAATGGACCACAGAAAGCTCAACCTAATGCTATCTTGGAGAAGGTTTTCACAGCTATTACAAAGGTAGTGTGTCTGACTAAAATATTTACCTTGTGAAGTGGGATGTGCCACTCTAAACTATATCTGAACAAAGCAAACCTAACAGATAAATGCAGTGCTGCTCAAATCAGAAATTCAAATATTGGGGATGTCTTTAATATGCCAGCTTGAGCGGTTGTATAACCCTTTGTTATGTCTCCTGTAAGTTTTCAATTAAAAAAAAAATTATTACAGAAACACTTTGTAGATGCCATATGGCCACCTACTTTTTTTTGCTTCTTACCTATTTTGTATCAATTTTTGCAAATTTGTTGGGGTTTTTAGAAAAAAGAAGAGCTTATTGTAAGCCAGTTATATTGATACTGAGTTTTTCATGAAGCTACAAAGCTACTCTTTCTAGGGAAAGGCCTGTGTTTCTGGTGTCCCAGCCAAAGGAGAATGACATAGAGAAGTGGGAGAAACTGACTGAATAATGTTTTATTTACAGCTTGCATGTCTTTTTTGTACAAGATTTTTCCCAACAACTTACATATCTGTCTCTACATCTCTCATCCTATGACATGTCACCTTAACCTGTTTGTTGTTTTGTCCATGCTTTTCAAGCATCCCAAATTTTTCTGCAGCAGCTTGCCATTCCCACCTTGGCTCCAGACTGCGGCTGGGCACCAGTGTAAACTTCAGAGAGTATTAAAGTCATAAAGGGCAACTGGGTTCAGTGTCACTGTCAGTGAAATATGCTGTTGATCTGTCTTGCTTGTGTGTCCTACACTATCCAAAGAACACCATGGCACTTGCTGTGACTTTTGTCCCATTTTCTGGGATGGAATTGCATGTGCTTTGTTTCTGAAAGCTGTAGGATACACTCTCACACAGACTCAGCTGAATGAAGAATGGTTAGGTTTTGTTTCTTGTGAGGTTGGTTGGTTGGTTTTAATGTAGCCTCATAAAATCTGGTAGTTTGACACAGGGTGTGAAATACCTGTGAGTGTGAAGAGCTCCGAATGGAAGTATCTGCTTTCCTGCAAGAATCTGGTAGCTGCTCTCAGAGAAACTGTCCAGTTTAGCTACCTGCCTTTTTTGAATCCTATATTGTAATTCTGTGAATTCAGCAGTTTACTCTAGTCAAACTCTTAAGAACTACATCAAACATTTCATTTTTCTAAGGTTACAGAAATTGCTTTTCTTAACCTTCCATTGAAAAACTAGTAGGTATTTTGGTTGACTAAAAAACTTTATTGAGATGGATGGCAAATACTTCTACCTTCTCTTGTCTCATCCTTTCATTTCCCTCTCTTTCCTGTGTTTTCTTGGAGGCTGATAGACAAATCTTCAGCCTAACAGAAATTTGCAGGTTTGTGTGCTGCAACAATTAAAAATTTAAAGCTTTTTGTTGTAAGAGCTCTTGTACTTCATTCAATAGATGGAACTGGTTTGCAGAAATAAAGCTAAAGCTCCAGAAAACAGATTGTCCATTTTTCTGTTTATTTAAAAAACTATGTGATCAGGAGAAATTATAAGTAGTACATATGCTTCACTGTACATGTAGAATTACTGTATGATTGGAGGTTCATCCTGTACTGCTCTTCAAATTAAGGACAGGCTCATTTTCTTTTCCCTTATCTCTACTCTGGTTTGCAGCCACAGTAATGGTATGAGACTTCTACATTTTCTGCTTTGGAGAATATTTGTGTATATTTAGTTTTACAGAAAACAATTCTGTCTCCCTGTTGTCAAGGTGATCTTCCTTTTGACGGTGTCACTTTAACAACCTCATTTTTTTAACATTATTGTGAAGAAACATGGGATTTATCTTCTTTCTGTTTCAGTCAATTTGTCTTCCCTAGTGCAACAGTCGATAGGGCAAAGATCCTAATGTAGGAGAATGGAACAAGTATTAGTGTGTGGCAGGCAGTGGGGTGTTTGTAAGAGCCACTGCTCCAGAAATGCATGGCATTTTTTGGCTGCTAAACATCACTTCCAAGTTTCAGGCAAGTTTCAATCCTGTTGTCCCTTTAAAGTTTTTTATCAGTAAAGGACCTGCATGTCATACTACAATATCTGTCCTAGATTAATAATTGTCAGTGTAATTGTATTCTGATGGGAATCTGCCAGTAGAGATTTCTGTGAACGTATTTCTGGGTATCCATGTGTCTGACAGACAGCCTTGGTAAGAAGGCAAGAGTCAATTACACTGGTTCTGAATATAAAATGTTAATTTAGTTGAGCTAGAAAATAATTTTTTTGCTTCTCTGTTTTGTAGCATCCAGATGAGAAGAGGCTGGAAGGCCTCTCCAAGCAGCTGGACTGGGATGTACGCAGCATTCAACGTTGGTTTCGACAAAGACGCAACCAGGAAAAACCCAGCACCCTTAGGAAGTTCTGTGAGAGCATGTAAGGATGCATGTTCTCTTCTTGAGTCTTGTTGAGCTTGTGTACTCATCAGTTTTCCCCTTTGTTTTTCACAGGTACTTTTGCAGACAATTAGAAATTTATACAAATTGGTAGAATATAACTAATGAGAAAAATAATCTTCATTCTCCTGAAGGAGTCAGATTATACTTTTTGGGTATTTTCAGTGGTCATAAGCTTTCAGAAATCATATTGTTGTGATTCTATGCTATCAGGGCACCAGCCTGATCCTTTAAGACAAGTTACCTGGTGTTAGTGTGCTGTCCTTACAGCAATAACCTTTAGCTGTACAACCTGATGGACGTCTGAGATGGAGGAGTAAAGATGAAAGGCAGTTGGGTTGTTAAATAAAAAGAAGAAAAAAGATAAATTGTCTAAAGATTATTGCCCTTTATTGAACAGAAGAACTTAAGTGTCAGAATGCTTAACTCCTTTCTTTGGTATTTACAGCTAAAATCCTCCTTCCTTAATGTTTAATAAATCAAGGCATGATGAGATTATGCACAGACTTGGTCATTTGGTTGCCAGCAGCTGCTGGGCTTAGAGTTACTAATTTTTGAGATCAGTGAAGAACAACCTTTTTTTCTGCAAAGGTTGTAGTTGTTAACTTGTTGGCTGTGGAGCTTTGGGAAACATTATTGCTTTATTAGCCTTAGAGGTAGCATGTTTGGGTGGCATGTTTTGCATCCTCTGTAACTCAGCTCAGAGACCTCACTCTCTTGTGCTGGTGCCAGGGCATTTGGGTGACTCTACAGGTAGAAAAATTTAAGCATACCATAAATACTGGCATGGATAGGATAGTAATGGGTGATGAATTTACTCCCTTGTGACATACATTATCAAAATAGGATGCAAATGACAGCTATGAATGCAGACTGGAAGGTAAGGTCAAGCTGTAGTGAAGTGCTGACAGAATATAGTGCCAGATTTGTTTAGAGGGAGCCATTGGCATTTCTGCAATATGTGTATTTAATAGTAATGATAAAACTTGTCTAAAAAGAAGCAAGATGGCATAAATAATAGGTCGATACTTGAGGTTCTATCTGTTCATAGTTTGCAAGAGGTGCAGTGGGAGCTGCCTCTCCATTTCTACATGTAGTAGAGCTGTGGGAATGTGGTGTTATCCAACCAATTGTGTGTGCCTTCCCCTGGGAGCATTTCCAGTGATGCGTCACCAGCTGACCTGACACATCTTGGACAAAGTTGTTGGCATATAGTTAGGCTACTACTGGGAACCCAGGGTTACCCTTTTGTCCCTTCAGTATGGGTTTAGTTTAATCTGTCCACCAGAGCACTGAGTGAGGTACTTCAGAAAGTTTTGACCAAAGAAATCCTTTGGTATGAGGTCCATAGCCTTTTCATAGCTATTGAGTTAATGGAGTGGCTTTTCAGATGTAGTGACTGTGTGTGACAGGTGTTTTGAAGCTCTGAGCTACCTCAAGTATGTGTTCCCACAACAGTCGTGGGAAGGGGAGCACTCAAGTCTTCAGTAATTCAGGTGCCAGTGGAGAGTTTCGACAGAATGAAGTATGCCTTTATGTAACAAGCAGGAACAGAGCAAGCAAAATGACAGTGATCTCCACCTACACCTTTGTACTGCTGAGCTGCTGTTGTCCCTCCAGAGAAGACTCCAGTGTTGCTGGGAACAGCACTGACTATAGCTTGGGAGGAAAAGTAAAAGAATCCATACCAAATGTGGATCTGGTTAAAAAGAACTCCAATTCTTTTCAATGAAGAAGATTCAATTTACTGCTAGACAAAGTGTTCCTTGGGCCCAGAGTGGCTTTTCCATGATGAAAAGGAAGAGGAACTGTGCCAGAAGGGCTGTAGGCCATTTTTGACTGCCTTATCTTCCTTGGAAATTAATAGCGTGGGCACTATCTAAGGTAGAGTAGCTTCAATGTGACAAAAGCTGAGAGTGAAATTTAGTGATAAGCACACTTGCCTGAGATGAATGATGCCAAAGATCCAGCCCCAAACACGCTATGCCAGTAACTTCATTACTAGGTTCTTATTGTCACAGATTTCTCACTTTCTCTAACCCTTCTCTTATTCTCAATCAATTACAATTCTGGACATAAGTAGAGTGCAGAGAAACCCCAAAACCTACCACTGCTCACTGCTTCTTGAGTGGGGAGGGGATGTTAGGTGGTGTTTTTGTTTGTTTGTTTTTGTGGGGTTTTTGTTGTTTTGTTTTCTGGATTTTTTGTTTGTTTTGTCATATTTTGTTGTTTGTTTGTATGTTTGTTGGGTTTTGTTTTTGTTTTGTGGGGGTATTTTTTGTTGATTTTGTTGGAATAATTGGAATAAATGGACTGGCTTTGCTGCCAGTCTTTGTCAGATATTCAGGCTATGGGCAGATGATGGTTATATGAAGAAAAAGGCAGTAATAAAATCTCCTGTTTATAGATACTGTTTGTGTCACAGCATTTTAGTGAAAATAAATTGCTTTTTCAGGAACCTTAACCAGTATTCACACCGTGGAGTTTTGTCTGTCAGTCTGAGAGAGAAGGTGTAGTTTGATCATTGGAGCCATAGAGACCCTAATGGTGAGATATCAGTGGTATTACGTACCTGCTTAAGCTTTCAGATGTTATGGTGATAAGTATTTATATGAAATATGAAATAGATAATTTCACTAGGTGGTGATTAATGTATATAATTTCCAGGTGTGGATTAATGATCCAGTCAGAAAGTAATAAATGCAGCACTGACAGCAAGTCAACCCTTGTATGCCAAGGATGTGGTGATTCTGGCATGACACCTGGAGTTAAAATCACAGTTTGTAGTCACTGGGAAAGGTATCCACCTAGTATAACCTCAGAATGCAAAGCTCAGGCACTTAGCCTACTGTATTAGTTGCAGGGGTTGTCTGTCCACAGCTTTTCTTTCTATTTTCTGAATTTAGACCATTCGCACTCCTTTCTTCAAGTTGAAAGATCCAAGATGCATAAAGGAGGAAAAAAAGTGGTCAACTGAGTGTGCAAAATGGATTTTTCTATTTCCATATATTTCTGTTGGGTTTTTATTATTCTTTTCTCTCTGTCCCTATGGCACAGCCTAACATCAAAAATATTACTTTGTTTATTGCCACACAGAATACAGGATCCAATAATACCTTTGTTAATGTTTGATGTGTCAGAAAGCCAATGCAGTAGTGATTCCCAGACCACTCCCAGTGACTTCCCAGTTTTAGTGTATTGTTTCTGTTCATACTACCAGTGTGTAGGTATGTCTGGTTTTCTCAAAGACTTAGTAGTATAAAAAGAGAGAGCATTCTGTCCTCTCCCCTTGTTGTCTGGTGCAAAGGGAGAGAACCTGTGATGCTGTAAGTTACTAGCCTGGGATTTTGGAATGTCATCAATGTTAACCAATGGCTTGTCTGTCCTACAGCTATATATATTTAAGCAAGCTGTTTATTAGAGACATTTATATAGTTTCTAAGGAGTGTCTGGAAGAAACATATGGCCAAGAGAGATGTTTTGAGTTTATGCAACATTCTGCATGTGAAAACATGAAAATGTGCAGACTGAAGAGCCAAAGATCTATTTTTTCCTCCCCTTTATTCTCTAGAAGAAGCTTGGATACTAGATTGGCTGTAAGTAGTGTCTTTTAGTTTTGATGTAGGGGAGAGAAGAGTCTCTGTCTTGTATCCTAGCTAGACATTATTTTTCCTAAGGAATTGAAATTTTGTTTAAGCATATTGCTTTGGAGGAAGATTTTTGTCTGTCTATGACTGTGTATATGTGTGTGTGTGCACATGTATGTGTATAGATACAGAGAAATACCAGTTGGGGTTTTTTTCCTGTTACACACAAGAAAATGTGAAAATTCTGTGGGCTGTTTGCAACTTCTTGGGCATATTGCTTTTCTCAACTAGCAGAGTATTTCCCTCCTATAAAGTTGTACTGGAGAAATAACAGTGCAAGGGGAAGAAATTAAGACAGCTGTTTGGTTGTTGAAATTCTGAACTGTGCTGATACACATGGTAATAAAATTTGTGAAAAAATTAATCAGTCTGTGCTTTGTGTTGAGCAGTAAAGCATTAGAAAATAAATAGGCTTTTAGCTCTTGAGTGTTTAATAGCATCAGGCTCTCCTAAGCCAGCTTCTAACACACTTCTGAGCAAAAATTTCTGGTAGATGGTACTTTGCATTGATTTAATTCTGATTTGTCAACTGCTCCAGTGCTACATGGAATAAAGGACTAACCAGTGTTTCATGACCAGAAAAGCGAAGCGAGGATAGGTCTGTGAAGACACACAACATGCTCTTCAGCAAGTGTGGTAGTTACTCTTCAATAGCCACAGAACTGCACTATCTCCCTTGTTTTCCTTTGCTGTTTTCCATGGAACGGGAATTGCTGTTACTTGGGCAATCAGATATTTGGTATTGTGTTGATAAGTGGATTGTGACATGAAGGGCAAGTAGGCTTAGGTGTTGGCAGTCAGATTTGTGAGGCAGCTTGTGGATGAAGGACATAGGTGTTCAATGAAATGTGAAGGGAGTTAGAGTCTGTGAAATTGTTCCAGAACAGGAAGATGTGACTTTGCTGAGTGCAAAAGGTGTTTATTATGGCTTCAGGTGGTAGGGGAGTTGAGAAAGGAGACTATTAATTGCTAGCAAGTGGTAACTGAAGTGCAGAGCAACAAAGATCATCTGGCAATTGTTATCTATACTAAGCATGTAAAATACTACAGTTTTACGATACTACTGTAATAGTTGCATTTGGACTCTGGAGTTGATAGATTCAAGGACCTATGACTCTTTTAAAAGAATTATAACAGTGATGCCTAGTAACATCACTGAAGAGAGATGTGCTTGAATGCAAGGCCTCTAGAGAAAGTAAAAGTGAATGAGGCATTTATACTGAGACTCATGTCAGGGAAACTAGAGCTGTGCAAAAAGGCCTGGAGTCATGTTTGACTATGTAAAAACCAAGAAAGAAATCCCGATCTGTTTTACATCAGGGTGAAATGTTAC